TATCAGGCCTGGGTATGGTTAGTGAATTTGAACTCAACGTTGAACTCAACCATGTAGGTTTGAAAGCTTTTTTTCCCCCTTGATAAATTAAACCAACTTTTAAAAAATACATTTTGTATTTGCTTTGGTTACATTTGTCCAATATTAAATGTTGTTTGATAATCTGAAACATGTAAGTGTAACAAATATGCAAAAAAAAAAAAAAAAAAAAAAAAAGGGGCAGAGGCTTTTTCATGGCACTGTATTTGCAGTAACTTTGGTTGTGTCATCGCCACTGTTGACATTAGCATAAAAGCACTGTTAACACCTTTCAATTTCAATTTTATATTTTAATGTTATTGCTACAGTCTTGTGGTGCACCAACAGGTTACCTGGCTGCCTGGATCTCTCTGGAGCACCATTCACTCTCGAGGTATTTGCGACTGATCACACAAATGGTCTTCCTGCTTCCATAAATAGCATCTGTAATGTTATCTATGATGGGTCTCCCTAATGAAGAGAAGGGGGAAAAAAACACAGCCAGTAATAAAACCATGAGGTTTGTATCCTCAGCTTTTTAGTAAAGTAGTATAGAGACACCCTCTGGAGTACATATGAAAGTACACATTTGACTGCAAAAGCTTCTAACACTATGCCCTCATTATCTCCAGATAATTGTTAGATAGTCTCTCTTTTGATTATATAAATAACTGCCACTTCAAATATAACTGCATAAGTCAAAATGATGTTACATTTTTCTAAAAACATTCTAGAAAATGTCCTGAATCTAATAATTTAGTTGGGATTAAACAGAGATACCGACAAACACACAATTTTAAGAGACATCCCACTTGTCGAACCATTAATATTTAACTTTAATTCAAACTTCCATCTCACCTGGTTCAAAGTCTCGATGGTGTAGGCACAGTCTCCAGCCCTGTTCTCCTTCCAGTTTTGGCAAGAGCTTGTCAATGACCCAAGGCTCATCGTGGGTGTTATAGGAGATAAAGGCGTCGTACTGATGAGGAGTTTTCTTGTTTTTGTGCTTTTTGTCAAAGAGCCAAGCTATGAACAGGTAATAGGCATAGACCAGCTGCAACCCCATGAAATGGTAAGTGAAGGACACCACCATCAAGCATAGGATTGTACACGTGCAGAGAACAAAGCAAATAAAGTCAGTGTTGTCTAAGCAGGAGCTGGTATCCAAGTCCAAAAGCTTCTTACTTTTGAATTCTTGTGGGTAGTTGCACGTAAAGTTATATGCATCATAAACTTGAGTTTTGCTGTCATTTATTGCCCACGAGAGAAACCAGCTGTTATCACAGTTGCAGGTGAATCCATTGCCCTGAAGGTCCAGATAAGTCAGAGCTGGTAGGGATTTGTCTAGATTAAGTGTAGTGTATCTACACATGAGTCTAGATACACTACAAAGTCACACTACATACCACTGTATGTATGATACATTGCCTGAA